ACTGTTATCCATCTATATAACATTTTCAACCGTTTCTAAATAATAATGCAATTTTAACCATATGTGTTCCATTTTTCATAATACGGCTAAACCCACACTGCTTCACTTCAAATAATTGTTTTTAAAACACACACACACACACACACACACACACACACACACACACACACCTGTAGGGCTTAAGAGTATGCATGTGCATTGCCATGCACTTGTTGCAGTGCTTTTCTCCCGCTCTTCCATTTTAATGTTTGATGGTGCATTATCCCTCCCATTACCATGGCTAAGTGGCCAGAAGTAGTTGACATTACATTCAGTGCAGCTACAATAAAGATACCTTGTCGGGTAATTCAGCTACCATGAATAGATGCTTTTCGTATCAGTCTGAGGGAAGATAAAAACATAGTCTTTGTAAAGAAACATTTCAGTCATGCAGGGAGAACTCCTTAAGTCATTTGAAACTGTTTTGTCGTCATTATCAGTGATGCTATCATTATTACTCTCTTCTTTAACCCGATGCAATAAAATTAGCCGACATTTCCTGTGAAAGACAACATCTTTGCACCAAATGGGAAATGTGTCATAACCCTGTGGCTAAGCACAATTGTTGAACACACAGTGAAAAATTGAACAATAAATTCATAAATAGTCAACTGCATTTTAAATCCACTTCAACCTCAGCTCTCCCCCCCAGTCTGCTTCCTCTCATGCAGGTAGCTCTGCAGTGTGTGTGCTTATGTGTGTGAGATAGAGGGGGCGAGAAACACTCATAACTTATTTTGTTGTCTTGTGTGTGTGTGTGTGTGTGTGTGTGTGTGTGTGTGTGTGTGTGTGTGTGTGTGTGTGTGTGTGTGTGTGTGTGTGTGTGTGTGTGTGTGTGTGTGTGTGTGTGGAGATAGAGAGGGAGAGAAACAATTATTTGATGTTGTCTTAATTGTGTGTGCGTGCAGTGTCTCATGTCTGCCAGGAGTTTGTTATGCCTGCCTGCATGTGTGTGTGTACAGTATGTCAGAAAAATCATGTTATTCTTTATGCCACTTAGATTGGCTGAGAAACAAGGTAGCCTTTATCCATAAACACACACACACACACACACACACACACACACACACACACACACACACACACACACACACACACACACACACACACACACACACACACACACACACACACACACACACACACACACACACACACACACACTCATACACACCACTCAGATGCTTGCCAAAGTTATGAGCTCCTGCCGTGTGTATGTGTGTGTGTGTGTGTATCTTGTGGTCTTGCAGTTTGTTGACATAGCCTAGAACGCAGTGCTCTCATTGAGAGGCTGCATTTTACTATTAGAAGAGATATTGCTTTGTGTGTGGAGTGGACACACCCTTCCACACACAGAACAGGCCTGTCATTGATAGAGGTTTACTTCTGTGTGGCAGAGAGTATGCTACATTCACTCTCTTGTTCTTGCTAATAGGCTCTTATTACATTACAAGCATGGGCCACCAAGGAGGCTGCCCACACATACAGAGTTCTTTATCTACAGTTGGGTGGACTATTGATAGAGAACATTTTAAATGTAATTGGGTTTTCTATATAAGATTGTTTTGTCAGTGCGAAAGAGGACAACAGCCAGTTGACTATAAATCCATGTAAACAGAGGCTATTTTAGCAAGAAAGCTATATCTGCTGTGCTTCTTCCTACCGGTCAGTCACTCATTATTTATGCACATATCCCTGTTTTTCTGGCTTTCCTGTTAGTCTTCTGGTTCTCTGTCTTACTGATTGTCTGAATCTGCTGTGAGATAACCTCTGTCCATCACATGCCTATTGATTAGATGCATCTATACACATGCTTGATCTCCATAACTCATGTATTGATTAAGCTTCACTAAGCAAAGAGTGCCTTCCCATCAATTTGATTAATACTACACACACAACGCCTATTACCTGGCATGATGCACTCAACCCATTCTCGGTTGATTCACTGGATATTCAGATGTGTTTTCTGCATATACTAGCATAAATGAACCTGTGTAAATTAGTGATTAGATTGTAATGCCCCTATTATTATGAACTCTAAATTACTAGTTAAACTAGGTATGTACTTTAATGATTTTTTGGCAATATGCATATCTTTTTCATTTTGGCCAATTGACCATGCTAATACTGATATATGCACTTTTTTTCCAAACTAATTGTTGAAAACAAGTCTCTCCCGCGGTGGGATTACCATATTATTACGCCTACTGTTACTATGTAAGTCCACTGGCAGATACAATGTTTCTCAAAATGAACACATTCACTGCGACACGTAAACAATGTATTATTGTGTACCATATGGGACAGTCATATCAAAGGAAATGTTTCATTCTCGGCTTTATCTGCTGATACTGATGATGCGCTGATATCATCGTGCGTCCCTAACTATTATGTTTTTTTGTTTTTGTTAAATCAGTCGGAGGAAAATGCAGTCGCAAATGTGGAGTACTTTCTAGGATATCATTCTTTGAGAAGATGGGAAATGTATCAGCTCTGTTTTTGAGATGCAGAAGCACTTGCTAATATCAGTCATTGAAAGGAAAGCAGTTTACAAGAAAACATTTCATGTTATTTTGAGGGAGGAGTAAGCAGAGGATAACATCAAATCCTACACAAGTTACAAGTTTCATTCTTGGAGACTGTGATATGCTCTTTACTTTCTAATCAAAGTTTAAAAAAAAGCCTGAAATGATGTTTACATGTACACTGAGTTTACTGAAACAGAAAAAGATGAGGTGCTACACAGATACCTGGCCTTAGAGTCACAGAAGAGATGTGCCTGTTGAAAGCAGAAAGATAATTACAGTTATCAAGTGAGTTGGCACAAGCTACCACAGATGCTTTGTTGAAGTACCAAGCTGCAGACACACACATCTACACTGACAATTACATCACAACATCACACTCATTTTGGTCACAAGGCCCCAAGTAAAGCCAGACTTTTATAAGGAAAACTATTTTATATGTAATGACCTTATTGTTAGATTATGTGCTTTATATGTTGTGGAAAAAAAACTGAAGAAATATATTCAAGGAGGTTAAATAAGCTTTAGACACAGATGTGTATCGAGGCGTGTGTGTGTGTTATGCTTGTTAACTCTGATATTTCGAGCAAAAGTGGAAGCAGGAGATTTCGAGCAGCTTTGCTCTGTGCGAGTGGCTCCAATTAGTTTGGAAAAACATGCACAACTAAACACAACACGTACCTGTACATGCACATGCATTCATGCACAGATAACTGCCCAAACAAATTGGACAAATATCCACACTAGGGTGAGCAACTCTGGTACACACATTTACAAACAACTTGACCAGCCAAACAAATGCGGAGAGACAGCGGGCAACACACATTAGGAGAAAAAATAAGGGCATTATGGCATTTATTTTTCTGTATAGCTATTATTTCCAAACTGACAAAGAAAATGTTTATACTGTACCTTAATATGGTTGTCTGTAGAGTCTATCCTAGTAGGGACCCACACCTGTGAATGTGGTGAAAGGAGAACTGTTGTAGTGTTTAAAAGCTATTTGATGTGTTGCACAGGTAAAAGTGCCTTGGTAGAGTTCGCCAAAATGTTTTGTCAACAAATAAATGCAGCAGAAATAGAAAGGCTGGCACTTTTCACAAACTGTGACCAATCTTCTAATACTCTAAACCACTTTCACACGATCCTTCACTTTGGGCAGCCTCTAAAGTCCATTACTTCAGCCAGTTGACCTGTACACAAAAGGGGTCTATTTTTGTGGCAGCGAAATGACCAGCAGTGCCCCGACTGTTTGGTATCTACCAGAGCATGAAATTCTTCTGAAACTGTTATCAGAGAACAAGGTCCTAAGCCTAAAGCTGCAAAAGTGCAGCTTATTGACAGTGAGCTGAATCAGGACTAGTTCATTTGAGGGTGAACCTCATGAACTAGTTTTGAAATGCAACATGCAGGTTAGGAACAAATCGTTAGGATTTGTTTGTGCAAATATCTCAACAACATCTCTAAATTAAAGAGATATACTTCTCAAAAAAGGACTTTTGATACTGTTTCTTCGAACAGGACACATGTTGTTCATCTTCATTTTCACGCAGGCTTATGATTAAAACTTAAACGTTTCTAAGGAACCAAAACCAGTAATCACCAATCTGTTAATAAGTCATGTTTAACTGGGATGAAAGTGTTACCTAAAAAAACCGAATTCTTGATAATTTGAACCTTGAACAAGGAATGTTAGAGGTCACATTTACCTTTGAATAGTTTGTCACTGTAATTACCTCAGTACATAAATGCTGTAACTTCTCAGCTCTAGACATTCAAAAGATTTACCTGTGCTTTAAACAAAGCTATCTTTCATATTTACAGTATTTATTGCACCAAGATGCTTTACACATGATTCAAAGGTGCAAGGACACATGATGCACTCAACCAACACAATGTCAACATTCAAGCTGAGAAAGAAAGGAGAGAAAAAGATAGAGTGAGTAGGTCAGTTTTCATTTCTCTGTTAAAGGCCTCTTCTTGCTGCCAGCTGCTGTGACACTTTTACCCTTTACACCTCAAGGACCTACTGTGTGTGTGTGTGTGTATGTGTGTGTGTGTGTGTGTGTGTGTGTGTGTGTGTGTGTGTGTGTGTGTGTGTGTGTGTGTGTTTGTGCATTTGTGTGTGTGTTCTTGCAATTGAACGTCCTTCTCATCTCCCCCAGGCTACAAGGCAATGTTTCTTGGATTTTCTATAAATAATTACAGTTATGATTTATTCGGCATGCCTATCATTTCTTCTCCTCTCCTCTCCTAGCGTCTTCTTTCTTCTCCTCTCCTCTTCTCTTCTGACCTCTTCTCTCCTTTCCTCTCCCACCTCTCTCTCTCCTCTTCTTTCCACAAGCCAGTTACATTCTTCGAAGAACAAAACAACAACTTGAATATGCTTGAATCTTTTCTTCTAACACTTGGCTTCCTGTTTCTCTCTCCCTCCAGGATCCCTCTGTCTCTCTCCTCCTTCACGATAAGCTTCAAGTGCCCAACAGTTCTCGGCGGGCGTGGAACGAGCGTGACAGTCGCTGTGATGTCTGCGCCACTCACCTCACTCAGCTCAAACAGGAAGCTGTGCGCATGGTCCTCACTCTCGACCAGTGGGATTTGTCCCCCCCCCTCTTCCCCTTCGGCCCTCATCGGACGCTATGGACCACCGGGTCCTATGGGAGCATCCGGGGGTCCTGGGTCACGGGACTGGATTCCTCCTTTTCTCCCTTCTTCCTCCTCCTCCTCCTCCTCCTCAGCCGCTGCTGCCATCTCACACCCGTCCTCCCAGTCGCCTTCCCCAAGCCCCAGCCACGGACTATCCAACCCCAGCCATGGGAGCCCCTCTGTGGGGCAAACATCTGGCTGTGCTCCCACAAACCAACAACCTCAAGGCCAAGGGCACAGACTGGGGTCTAAACCCAGCTCCCTGGGGCTTGGTGGTGGGGGGGACAGAAGGGTTGGGTCCCCCAGTTTGGGAAAGTCTGTTGCCCAACAGCAACCAGTGACTGGAGTAAACAGCCCAGGCCATAATAGCGGAGCAGTCCTGAGCACAGCAGCTCTGCAGGCCCATCAGCACCTGACCCGCACCAATGGAGGAGTTACACTCTATCCCTACCAGGTAAGATTCTCTCAGAAGTGTCTGTGAGGAGTGCAAATATTACCATAGACATTGAATATATTAACTCTGGTCTTGCTGAATATGATAATTGGTAACAGGCTACCAACATGCAAATGAAAACATCTCCTGATATGAATTTGTCAGTGAGGACAGGAACTGCAGCGTTTACATTTTCCAACTCGTAGGTGTAGCTGCCTTTTGTGGCGTGAGCTTTTTATTCATCAACCACTGACCATGACTTGTGAGATTATGTTTTCAACACAAGCAAATACAGTCCCTCTACTCTATTATCCTGCAGAGTAGCAAGGCAAACATTTGTGGTTTGTTCCTATCAAATGAGATCTTTACGAGGATACAATAATCATCTCAGAATGTAACAAGCATCTCTTAGTGGGAAGCAAAATATCATCTTCAACAGATTAGAGGCAAGACGTAAAGTTTGGAGTTAATACGACGCAAACATGCAAACGGGAGTGGAATTGAAATTGGAGATAAAAGAAGAGGTTTTAGGAGGAGACAGGAAGAGAGGGTTCACATGAGAGGAAGATGATAGGAGGAAGAAAAGAAAACGCCTCAGGAGACGTGGTCGAGAGGTACGGGGGGGAGCTGAGACTGCAGGGGAGATCCAGAGGTGTGTGTGTGTGTGTGTGTGTGTGTGTGTGTGTGTGTGTGTGTGTGTGTGTGTGTGTGTGTGTGTGTGTGTGTGTGTGTGTGTGTGTGTGTGTGTGTGAAAGTGTTCTACAGATGTAATAATTCATACAGTGATAATTAGAACTCAGGGGACTCTATGTCACACACCCCCGGTACCCCTTCACTCTTTCACTCTTATTCACTATCTCTCTCTCTCTCTCTCTCTCTCTCTCTCTCTCTCTCTCACGCGCACGCACGCACGCACGCACGCACACACACACACACACACACACACACACACACACACACACACACACACACACACACACACACACACACACACACACACACACACACACACACACACACACACACACACACCCTCTTTCTCCCTTCCTCCCCTATTATTTCTCCCATCGTTCTCACACTTTGGCTGTTTGATATTCACCTCCTCTTCTCTTCATCTTGCTGTTTCCCCATCTCTCTCTTTATATTTGTATTCAGCCCATGACTTGGATCAGATGCAGAGATATGGAGTTGGAGGTGGAAATTACTTTGTACAATCTCTGGAATGGTTTTGTTATTACATTACATTACATTTAGCTGATGCTTTTATCCAAAGCGACTTACAATAAGTGCGTTCAACCAACAAGATACAAACTTGAAGAAAACAGAATCATATAAGTACATCAGGTTTCATAGAGCCAAAACATTTCAAGTGCTACTCAACTGGCTTTAGATAAGCCAGTCCTTTATTAGTATATAAGTGCTTTGTTAATTATTCTTTGTTAGTAATTCTATCGCTCGAAGTGGAGTCGAAAGTTATCTTGTCATATTGGTCAGAAATAAATTAGGCAGAAGAGCTTTCATGCTTTCTGGCCTGTCTGAAAATAAAGTGAAGGCACTCAAATTAATTGGACGATTAGGAATGATTATGCCTCCTTCTATTATTGTATTCTAAAACAAATAATTTCTACTTTGTTTTTGGTTTTCAACATACATGAGTGCGTTGATTTCGTTTTTATTTCCCTTAAAAACAAGATTATATTATTCATGTTTCTTTTGATATTGACTTTTATAATATCACATTGTTTAGATGAAAAAATGAAGTATGCTTCCTATTTACCCTCAACTAATATATATATATGTTTGTGTTGTTTGTCAGCATTTGTGTACAAGTGTGTAAGTGTGCAAAAAGGCTCTATTTTGTGTATTCAATAATGAATGTGAACGCTGTGTTCTATGTTTGAGTTTGTATATGGGATAGGAGGTGTTCAAATGTTAGAGAGTCTGAGTGTTTGTACTGTGACTTTGACAGTAATGGTGTTTCAGCAGGAAAGGAGAAATAGAGCAGGATAATAAATCACCCTTATTTAGACTCACCCCTGAGAGAGGAAGAGAAGGAGGAGGAGCTGAGCAGAGAGATGATAAAAGAAATGGGAATGAAAGTAGGATTGAGAAAATGAAATTGAAAGATATGAGATGTGGGCAGAGAGGAGGAAGAGACGGTCATAGAGATGTGTTAAGAATAAGAGACATGTTGTTATAGACTTCAGTGTATAGACAGATTGCATATCAACCTCAACACTGTATGTCATTATTTGCCACAGAATTGGATTGTGTTGCTTCACTGCTGCTTCACTGCTGCTTTACTGCAGCACAGCAGAACACATCAAAGATTGCTGCTCCTTGTAACAGTGGGGCTTTCAGAAGTCTTCTAATGGCAGATGAGAATATCCTCCAACGTATTCACGCTCTTCAGTGAAGTTAAAGAGAAATCAAACACATGTGAATGACAGCGGGGAAAATTAAAAGGGTCTGAGTTTAAAATTATGCAGCCAGGATCAGTGTATTTTTGGGAAATGTGGTCTTAATCTTTAGAAAAACTTAAAAGGAGCATATTGTTATCTGATTGGATTCACTGCATGATATTTAACGCCAAAGTCCGGGGGGGAAATACCATCCTTTGGTTGTTTGTAGCTTGCTCTCCTTCTCCTACACCAGGGGTGCCCAACCTTTTTTTAACCGAGAGCTACTTTTAAAGTTGCCAGTCTGCCGAGATCTACCAGTCCAAATAGAGAGGCGTAGTTACTGACAGCCAGGTGAATACACACTTCTACTTGTATACAACTGACCTTTGTAGGATGAATACTAGGGATGCACCGAATATTCGGCCACCGAAAATTATCGGCCGAAAATTGTTAAAAAGGCCCTTTCGGCTTTCGGAACCGAATGTCAGAACAGGCTTACGTTGGTAACCTAACGTGTTGCTGTGATGACGTAATAAAGACGCGGCGACCATGCTCGCGGCTGGCTCACAGGGGGGGGGGGGGGGGGGGGGGGACATTGACCTTTGTCATCGAGATTGCCCTGAGCCTTTAACAAATCGTATTAAATAATCTGATGATAGACTGTAAACAGAATAGCTGAAATTTTAACAAACTAAATAACTCAGTTTCCTCTAATCATTAACCCATGTTTGTATCATGTAGTTAACTCCGTGTGTTGCTGCTAGCATACATAACACCTGACGTGGAAACGTTACTCGTGGATGGGGCTACAGAGCTGCTAGAAAGACGGTCGAACCCGGTGCATTCCTCCGTTTGCATGCGGTGCACTTTTGCTAAATGTTTAGACAAATTGCTCGTGCTTACATGCTAAACTCTTATTGCACTTATGGTAACAAGTATTCTCCACATCGAGACAGGTAAAGTTTAACCACACCTCGGAGCGCGTTCTCTCCACCATCTCCGCAGTGTGCTCCGCTGCATGTAGCAGCTGCGTGTGTGTAAACTGCCCCGCCCCCTCGCACACAGACGGGGGAGAGAGATCTCGTCTGATCGAAAATACATCATAGACGCATTTGTTGTCTTTGCATATTAGAAACGAGTTGGCGACACTAAGACTGCGATATCATGTTTTTTAGCAATAATACATGACATATATAAATGTACTGTATGCATTCAAAAGTGCTGAATAAATGTTTTATGGACACATAATAGTGATTATTATTTAAGTTAAGTTTTTCCATAATCATGTCTATTTCCATAATCAGGTAGCTGAACAACATTGGTAACAAATGTATACATTATATATATATATATATATTTCTATTAATCATTTTCGGCCTTTCGGCATTTGGTTTTCGGCCAACTGTTTCCTATTTTCGGTATCGGTTTCGGCCAAGAATTTCCCATTCGGTGCACCCCTAATGAATACTTCATAAAATACTGCAGATCCTTTATCTTACCTATTTCTAATCTACACACATACAAGTATTCAACTGAAGTTACACAACAGTGTTGTTGATACGGAGTTGGAGTTTATTCACACGTCACATACTACAGTGGGTAATGTTTTCAAGAAACTTTGAACAGTGCTGCCACATATGACACAGGAAAAAAAGAAAAGTCTCTGAACCCTTTCTTTGCCATTATATAAAAATAGTGTTGCTACAAAAGTATAAATGAGGCTTACTAATAAGACAACTCAGATCTGAAGTTACACAGGAATCTGCTGCCAAAGTGCAATAAAAAAGACAAAATTAATAGAATCAAACCCTTTTTTTGTTGCATTTTAGTAGATTATAAAAAGAAAATGCCTTTTAAAATAGGATGCAAGCAACACTAGCTTCTTAACCTGAATTGATAATAGACTATAATCAATTTAAACAGAACAGATCTTAATGTTTGCATTCTTATACCATTTTGTACAATAATTGTAATGAATAAGTTCAAACAAACAAAAACTTACAGCTGATTAATAACGGTATCTAACTTGAGTTTTTATTATATCAAAAACCTGTTGAAATGCTCCTGTTATTAGTATTGTCCCCCAAAAGCGCATCGGCAGCCAGGAAAGCTTCTTTCACAACTTCGCCGTGTTTGAAAGACTTCATGTGTTTCGCAAGAACGTGACTGACACGATAATCATCATCATCATCATCTTTTATTTAAAGAGACTCTTGGTCCATTATTACAAAAACATACAACACTCAAATATAAATTAAAAAAGGCAGTTATACCAATGTAAGATACTATGGTAGCAGCCTTGCTCTTGTTGTTGGGCCTGGTGAAAATGGACTGCTGTGCATTTAGCTGTCCTTTCAGGCCCCTCCCCTTTTGGAGCGTAGGGCAGAATTAGGAGGGAATTCCGTCTCTTAGCGTTTGTGCACTGTTTTGGAATGCCGCTCCTAAATTACCCTTCTTCGATAAAGCCACGCTCGCATTGCAGATGAGACAGATGGACTTTGAATTGGAATAGATACACAAATAATCATCCTCCCACTCGGAGTGAAAATTATATATTTTGGGCTTTTTTGCTTCTGCCATAATTGCGGTCTTGTGTGTGTGCGGACTGTCACTCCTAGC